ATTTTTTATTTCTGGAATTTTCCATTCAATATTTTCAGACCTTGGGTTATTGAAACCATGGAAATGAAACCCTGGACAAGGGGTACCTACTGTACCTACCTCCAGCCAGGTCTGGACACGTGGAGAGACGGTAAATACTCCGCTCCAGTCATTTTGTTCCTCCAAGTGTTCACAGGGGTGGGGGATGGGGGGAGACGTGTGAAGCTCAGTGCAGCGACACAGGCCACTAAAACCATGACCCGATGGCAGAGCTGCAGAAGGCTTCCCCTCCCCCACACCTTACCTTACTAAAGGCCTATTTACAGCAGGTCTTTTCACCCAGTACCTCCGGCTTACGACAAAAAATTACAAGGCATACAAAAAGGCAAAAAGCAAACAGTGTGAAGAGACTGAGCAAGAGTCAGATATGCCAGGAATGTTTAAACTGTCATACCAGGAAAGTTTTAAAATTATGATTAATATGCTAAGGGCTTTAATATTGAGAGGGGATTAAGACAATTGACAAGAAGTTTGAAGTTGATTTAATAACAAGCAGGTGAAAATTCAATCAAAACAGAAAACAAAATTATTAACTTCAGGAAGACAAAAGATTGTTCATAATGCAATGTGCAGCATTTATCTGATCATAATGTTGCACACACATGGATATTTACTTAAGTGGGAAGGATGGGGGTGGGGAGTATGCAGACCTGGGGCGGGTGGGCGGAGCAGTGGCGGGAGGGAGCCAAATCCTGTCATCCACAATAGGAAGTCAGTAGAGAATGCCCAAAAAGTCTTAGCAAGATACACATGCTGTTTAGAGATGCAGAGGTAAATTTGAAGAGAATCTACTAAAAAGTAGTCACGCCTAGGGAGCTGGGAGAGAGGGAGGAAAGGAGACTGCTGCTCTTCTCAGGAGCCTGTGGAACTTGCCCTCATGCAACCCACATGCTTAGCTAAGATGAATAAACACAGAGTGACAATCAACAGGAAACCTCAGGTATTGAAGGCAGACAGATTGGGGTTCAAATCTCTAAGAAAATGCAAGGTTTATGTACAATCTCACACAGAACACGTTCGATACCAGATGTGTGAGATTTTTTCCATTCTAATTAATTCTCCAACACCAGCTGGGTACCCTACAATTCAGTTCAATTCCAACACCACCTGCTTGGAGGCAGCACCAGACCCTACAGGATAAGGGTGCAGTCCCGACTGCCCCAGCTGGTTATACATTGGGGGCTCCTAGAGCAGCTCAGAGAACTCAGGAAAACACTGAACTTACATTTCCCGGTTTATTTTAAAGGCTATTACAAAGGGCATAGATGAAGAGGTACACAGGGAAAGGTCCGGAAGGCTCCTGAGCACAGAGCGTCTATCCCCCGTGGGGTTGGAGTGCCCCAACCGTGGATGCCTTCACCACCCGGAAGCTCATTAAATCTTGTTGTTCAAGAGTTTTTACAGAGTTTAATCTCCAGCTGTCTACCCTCACCTTCCCAGAGTCAGTGGGTGGGGCTAGAAGTTCCAACCCTTTAATAACTTGATCTTTTGGGTGTGCAACCCTCATGCTGAAGGTAACTAAGGGCCCTACCCCAAATCACCTCATTAGCATAAACCTAGGTGAGATTGGAAGGGGCTCATTGTGAATACAAAAAGATACTCCTATCACTCAGGAAATTCCAAGGGGTTTAGGAGCTCTGTACCAGGAACTGAGGACAAAGACCAAATATATTAATGGTTCTTATTATATCACAAAATCCCAGTTCCACCATTGTGTGACCCTGTCCCGATGACTTAGGCCCTCTGAGACTCAATTTCTTCGTCAGAAAAGTAATGCCAACAACCTCGGGATATTGCTATGACGGCTGGGTGAAACGTGGCATATCAAGTAGGTAATCTGGCACAGCGGGGAGTCTGAGGATGCACTTGACACCCTCTTCCTGTGGGTGTCACCCGCAGCACGTCCAGTCACACTGTCCCTGCTGTGCACGGAAGGCTGGTTGTGTGCCTGCCATGGCCGTGCCAGTAGGGAAATCTTGGGAACACTTCAGAAGGTTGGTGTGTGTTGGCTGTTGTCCTGCTTCCAGCAGAGTTCTGAGTGACGTGCCTGCGAGCATGAGCTATCCTGCGAGCCGGCAGTGATGGGAGGACAGCCGTGCCCCGCGAGAGGCTGCTGCCCAGTCCGCAGTCCAAGTCTGGACCACTGTGAGGCATAAAAAGCCAAGCGCTTCACTATGACCAACTGAAGTTTCCATTAGTGGCGTCAAAGCTACAACATTAGCAAGAGGTAAGATTGATCCTGGGTGGACATTAAGCTGGAGAGGAATTAATGGGGTAATGTAAGGAAAGACCACAGTTTTATACTCAAACGCCATGTCTAGAAAATAACTTTGGGTGGGATTAATTGCACACAGAACTAACTGAAAGCCATCTAATCTTTTGAGGAGATTGAATTGCCAAAAACACTGCTAGCCTAGCCTGAAAAATCTACTAAAGCAATCTCTGGTCGCCAAATCTGCATCAGCAGGGAGCAGGCCGCACAAGACCAGCAGCCCTTGCCCTGCCACATGGGGCTTGGGCATGGTCTCGGAAAACCAGGAAGACAACGGCAGGGGGCATGCAGGCGAGGGGCAAGGGCGTTCTTCCTAGACAGTGGACCCAGGGCTTCAGGTGCGGGGATGCCTCCAAGGCAGACAGTCTCCGCGATACCTCCCAGTAGGATTTGATAATGGCCAGAAAGGTGGCTGTTGCTGGTGTTTTGCATTCCCTTTCTGTAAAGATTTTATTTATTTGTTCCACCATTGCATATTAGGTATGTGAGAGGGCAGATTACTTGTCCTTTAGTATGTAAGTAGCTGGGTGAAAAAGAGCCACACCCAGACTTGAAGGAGAGGCCTGTACGTCACCCAGAGACCGACACGAGCTGTAATAGAAGTAACTACTGGGGAACTTGTTATGGTTTTGTTTGCATTAGGGTTGATGTGCTAAGTGTAGGGGAAGGCTACACTGGGTCTTTTGGTGGCAAAAAGGATGGACTATTTAAAAAACTATTTATCTCTGAAGTTCTGCTCTCCATTTTTTTCCCCATAGTAATAGAACTTGGCTTCTCAGAATTAAGACTACATCTTTCAGCTTCCCTTGCAGCTAGGTGTGGCCAGGTAACCAAGTTCTGGCAAATGGGATCTAAACCAAGATATTGTTTACCGGTTTACAGGACTCCTTCTTAAGAGATAGTTGTTTAAAACCTTTTGAACTTTCTTTCTCCCTTTACCTTCTTTCTGCTTCCTGGGATGTGGATGTGATGGTTAGAGCTGAGGCTGCCATCTTAGATTATGAGGTTAACCATGCATATGAAAGCCACATAGGATGAAATAGCAAGAAAGAAGCAGCCTGGGTCCTTGATGCTGTGGCAGACTTACCTCTAGATGTTTATGATACAGAAAAATAGGCTTGTTTAAGCCACAGTTACTTTGGTTTTTTTGTGATGTGCAGTGGAACCTAAGTGTAAGTAATATCAAAGCAATTAAGGAACAGATGCAGGAGTTAGACTGTGGTCAGCATACCAACTTCTACATTAAAACTGGATTGGAGAATATGACTTGAGCATGCAACCAAACAGGTGGCATTTTACTGTTAACTGCGCCCAAGTTTAGGTCCTGAGCTGCTGTGTTGAAAGTGCAGGCAGACATCTAGCCAGCCAGAGGCTCCTTAAACCTTAGTGTGCATGTGAATCACCTGAGGACCTTGTTGGTCACACGTTCCAGTTCAGAAGGTCTGAGGTGGGCCTGGGATTCTGTTTTTCTAACAGTCTTTCAAGTGCTGATGCCGCTGGCCCAGGGGTCTCACTTTGGGTAAGAAGGCCCTACTTGACACTCATTGCAGCGATTCAGAGCCAAAAGCCTCTCCTGGGCCCTGGCTCAAATGCTTGTTGCATGGAAACTCAGGCGGAGGCGTTAGTCAGAGGTGCAGAGAAGGCAACCCTAGAGCATTTGTTCTCCAATCTGACTGCACATCCAATGCGTGAGGAGCTTCCAACATACTGACACTACATCCCGCCCCTTGAGATCTGGCTCTGGGTGTGGCCTGGGAATTGGGAGGTTTAAAAGCTTCCCTGATGACCCTAAAGGACAGCAGGGGTGGGGACCCACAGCCCTAGAGGGCCAATGATCTGGTGGAAGTTCTTGTTTAAGGGCTGAGGCAAGGACTTGAAGAAGTGTCCCTCCTACCGTCAGGGCCAGGACTGAAGTAAGGTAAGTGAGGAACCTTCCTTGGATGTTAAGGTTAAGGGGAAGATGGCATCCCAAAACTCAGTAATCAAGATAAGTGATATTTTAGCACAATATTTTTCAAAATCAATATTTTTTAAAAACACAAAGTATACATAGTGAATACAATATACACATTTTCAAATGAAGATGAGATCTGTAAAAGTGCCATGTGAAGCCACATTGGAGCTTTCTGCAAAAGGAAAATCAGTAACACTGATCCTGTAGGCGACACCTGCTAGCTTTCTGTCCTCCCAACCTCCAGGGCGGAACAACCCAGCCAGGGAACATGGAGGTGGGGCTGCTCCCCCACATATGCAGGCCGGGGCCTGCAGGTCCACCTTTGCCCTGAGAAGGTTCTGAACTGGATCACAGAAGTCCTTTCTATAAACTAACCAAGACTGTAAGAATAATAATAGCAGACATTTATTGAGTTCTAAGTGCTTTTCAGATACTAACTCATTTAATCCTCACATCTCTGTGAAGTAGGAGCTCTGTGACTTCCTCAGGGAGGAAGCTGAGGCACAGGGCTAATAAGCTGGCCCCCAACCACACAGCAAGCAGGAAGCTGAGCCGGGAAGAGCCAAACTCAGTCTGGCCCCAACGTCTGTGCTCGTAACCACTAGGTCAAAGATGTGCCCCCATTCTGGTTTCCGTCCCGCTGCCAGCCGGTCGCGGCTTCACCGCAGCTCAGCAGAGCGAGTCAGCGCATCCGCGCAGCAACGCTGGCGCGACCAAGCACCCACACTTACAGCGTTAGCAATGGACTCGGACGGTGCAAGCCGGCTGTCTTTATTAGATTGCAGGAAAGAAATGGGGGTCACCGAGTTAAGTTAGAAAGGACAGGGCACAGAAGCCTGGGTACTGCCCCCGCCCGTTTCCTGTTCTGGCGAGTCACCGCCGGCGAGGGCGGAGGGCGTGGGGCGGCACGGCGGGCGTCAGCGGATGGTGTACTTGTCCCACTTCTTCTCGGGGTCGTAGGGCTCCCAGCGGCTGGCGGGGAAGATGTGCTTGTTCTTCTCGAACCAGCTCCTCAGCACCACCTTGCCCGCGTGCGACTCGTCCTTCTCCATGGTGGCGTCGCTAAGCAGCCGCACGTCGTCGTGCACGTCGAAGCTGAACAGCGGCCCGCTCTTGCCCCGGGCCTTGGCCACGATGAAGTCGTAGAAGGTGTGGTAGTGCGGCAGGATGAGGTCCTCCTTGATGTACATGAGCTGCTCCACGCCGGCCGAGCGCAGCTCGGGGAAGTCCTTGCGCAGCCCCTGCAGCGCCGTCCTCAGGAACTGCTGCACCGTGCTGCCCTTGCTCATGCGCGCCGTGCGCCGGTGGCCCGAGCCGTCCCAGTAGCTGAAGGTGATCTCCACCTCCTCGGCCTTCACCTTCTCGCGCTTGGCCTCCCACTGCCTGCGCAGCTCCTCCCGGAGCCGGTTCTCCGCCTCCTCGCGGTCGCGGTCCGGCAGGAAGCTGGTGTCCACGTCGGGGTTCTTGCCCAGGTTTCTCTGGCTCTTGCCGGCCCCAGCCGCGCCGCCCTGGTCATCGTTGTCATCCAGCGAGAAGGACAGACAGGAGATCTTGCGCTTGCGCTCGCGCCTGCGCTCCTCGTCCCGGAGCATCTCGAGCTGCAGCCGGCGCTCCTCCAGCTGCGCGCGCGTGGCCAGCTGCCTCTCGCGCTCGCGCAGCAGCGCCTCCTGCTTGGCCTTCATGTCGTTCAGCGTCACCAGGCCCACCGTGCTCGACTTCAGCTCGGCCTCCACGGCGTCGTAGTGAGCCGAGAACTTCTTGTCCACCTTGGACTTCAGGATGGTCTCCTCGGCGATGCGCTGGCGCAGCACCTGCATCTGCTCCTTCTGCTTCTCGCGCTTCTTGATCAGGTGCATGGCCCGGCCGGCCTCGCGCATGGTGCCCTTGTACTGCGCCATGGTCGCTGGTGGCTTCTGTAGCGGTGGGGACAGACACAGGCGTTAGAAGGGGACCGCATAAGAGCTGTATTAATGGTCTAGCTCAGCGCCTCCTAATAGGACTCTCAGCCGAGATGAAATGTCCGCCCTGCGCTGCCCACACGTGGTACCACCTGGTGCCCGACCTAAGGCACCAGGCACAGCCCGGCTTGCCGTGGGAGGCAGGGCCTCTGAGGACTGCACACAGCAGGGGAGGACTAAGCACAGCACTGCCGGCCTGTTTCACCCAAAGCAGAGCGAGGCCTCCTGTACTTTTACTGGACTCATCCTCCATCAGCACTGGGCTATCCTGCCTCACCTCCTGTAGCTCCATCAGCTGGCGGCCTCCCCGTAAACTCCAGAGGTCCTCTTGCTCAGCCTGCCCCCACCCTCCGCCGCCCCAAACCCTCCCACTGTGCCCCCTGGCACACGGGCCTCATCAGCCAGCTCTTGGACGCTTCCTTTACTTTCTGGTCCTAAATTGCAGCCAGCCGTCCTGTGAATTCTCCCTGTAGCTCTCTAAAGTAGAGGATGTTTTCCTCTGTGGAATCTCAAAGTCTGAAGGTGGGATGAGTGTCTCTGCTATTTTAAAAACGCTAGTTTTCTTCTATACTCCCAGCTCCTGTGAAGCTCATGCCACCCAGCCATACACGGTCCCTGCTGTTGCATCGTCTGTGCAATTCCTTGTCCTTCTCCTAAGGCCTCGAGGATCATTGGCACCTGGCTCGACTGCCCTCCTTGTCCGCCTTACATCCACGGCTATCCTGAGTGTCCTGGGCATGATCCATGACCCATGACCTCCTCAGTTCCTTGACCTTCTCACTGGCAATAATTTCCTCCCCTGCCCTGACTCAGTCATCCACCAACACACCCTGGTCCTTATTGCTCCCAGTAAGCGCCCCGTCTTCAAGATTTTGACTCAACCACCATCTTTCCTCTCCATTTACGTACATACTCTGGAACTCCAAAGACCAAGGATCTTCTTATAGCTCAAGACCTCCAAACCCAAAGCCTCCATGGCCTCTCCATTGTCATCACACCCTCACTTGCTTATTCCCTCCTTACTCCGGGGGAGTGCACAGATTCCTAATGCCCTCGGCCCCTTGCCTGCTGTCATTCTCCCTTGAAAAAGCTCTAATCCTGGTTTAGCCCAGCTCCTGAAACCAGGTAGCTGACTATTTCTGGAGAAAACACCATCACTGTTGCTGGCTGGTCTCATTTTAAACGTGACCTCATACCTCCAAGGGTGACTCAAAACTAGCTAGAAATCCTATCAAACTGCCCCAGTAAGTCTGCTGTGCTCTTCAAGATGATCATTTCCTACTTCCTCTGTGTCTCCTCACATCTCTGATGCTCTCCCCCTCCCAGCCCCACCAGAGGCAGCAGGTGAACATGCACCAGCACGCCTCAGGCTCTAAACGCAAGTAGCTATGGGGAACCGAGTCAAAGGAAGTACAGCAGCTGCTTTACCGTGAGCCTCTAGCATGCTCGTTTCCACTGTGGCTCTCCAATGCGGCTAGAGCAGTTCATGTTTCCACATGAAAAGTTCTGGATTAGTGAGCGTCTCTCCCGACAGGGTATCTATTAACACTTGCCAACCAGCGCTTAGTGGGGCCTCGCTTGCAGAAACTGGCTGTGAGCCGTTTGCCAGCCCTTCACCCTCACCCTGACTAACAGCAGTGGTGCCCATGAGCACGCCTTCCCTAGGAGCCCTTAATTGTATGATGACAACAAGTGGCAACTGCATGCCAAGAGGAAAGTACCATGGTGTGGCCACTCACCCAGTTGTGCAAACTAGAAACCTGGGGTTTACCTGGATGACTCTCCAGATACAATCAAGTGCAGACACGGCTGCCATGGCTTTCCTTTCTCTCCCCTTCCCCACCACTGACCTTAATCCAGGAAATTGCCCCCCCCCTTTTAAATTAAAGCCTTCTCACTATTGCTCCGCATCAGCATGTGGGCGCATCTCAATCTCTTGCACTCCAGGTGCTGTGCTTCTTACAGATGGAAGGCGCTGGCAATGCTGCGTCCAGCAAGGCTGCCCGTGCCGTTTCCAATAGCCTGTGCTCACTTCCTGCCTCTGGGTCACATTTTGGTAATTCAATTAAATTTTCTGTCTTCTGTGGGCACAGCTTCTGGTGCTCCCAAACAATGACAATAGTAACATCAAAGATCACACATCATCATAACAGACATAATAATAATGAAAAAGTTTGAAATATTACAAGAAATGGATGATTGTGTCAGTTGTTCTTGCCTAATTCAGACATTATAATTTTTCTTTTAAATAGGTTTTACCATAAAGGAAGAAATAGGCATATTACAGAAAAGTTTGAAAAGAAAGGTAAATAATAAAAGTATGCTCAACATCAAACACAGAAGTAACATAATTATTAGTGTTTGCAAGTTTCCTTCTAATATTTTGTGTGCACATATATCTGTGTATATTTAATACTTTTAATCAAACTTTGCATGATATTTGATGACATTTTCCCATTTAACTATTCTTCTTGTTTCTATATAATCATCATAGTCATTGATTAAATAAATGTGATACAATCTATTGTAAAAAAATTTTTTGTCAATACCAGCAAGACAGCAGAGTATTGGGAGCAGCAGCCTGCTCTGATGACTTGGAAATGCTAATTAAATGCACAAACTTTAATTTAGAGAAAATGTAACCTCCTCCCAGCTTAGTCACAAAGTAAAACAAATATGCAAAAAAAAAGCAACATTCTTTTTTTAAAAATCCCACAAAACTAAAACTTATACTATTTTATCAGGGAAAAAATGGAGACTCAGTTTCCAATGTGAGCAACTATAACAATAACCCAAGAAAAACACCTTTTGCCATGATCGGCTTTCAGGTTACCTTCCACCAATCTGAATTCTGTGTTAAAATGATTATCCTGCAAGTGCCAGATATACCGTCCTCTCCAGAGTCAGCCTTGAAATGAAACAGCCGACGGTGGGCCCGGACTGGGTGTAGGCTGTGCCCTGGTGGCCTCCCCACTCAAGGATCCCTCCAACCCTGCCACGTTGTCCACGCAAAGCCACGGGATCTCACATCAACCAGGCGCCAAAAAAGAACTAGTGCATGACTGCTACAGGATTCTGTCACCAGACCAGAAGTCCTCCAAAGGGTATTTAGAGTTGATATGATTGTGTGCTTTCTAGTGGGGGGTTAAAAAAAATGTCTTCCAACATTTGCTTGGTAGACAGCCAATATTTTGGCATACAATGGGGTGGGAGGGGAAGAGCCCTCACGTCTTCAGAGACAGGGGAATGCAAAATAGACTAGAAGGGAAAAGCTTGGCCAAACAACTTGTGACTTCTATATGTGTTCCTCTAGGGAAAAAACTCCAGACCAAACAAGGGAGAAATGAAACCTAAGAGATGATGTCATGGATTTCAGAATAGATACTGCACCAAAAATGTCTCTGAGTTTTGCTGGACCTAAATTGTTTCTTTAATTTTTATCCAAGTAATGCATGTTTGATGAAAATGGTTTAAGAGGCTCTAATATGGTTTTATATTCTTACTTTAAAAAGTAATACTAAAAGGATTATTTTCACAAAAAAAAAAAAGCAAACAGTTTCCAGTTTATTGTTCTCTTCCCTGGAGCCAACCATTTTCAGTCTCTTCAGATGTTTCTTCTGGTATTTACCTTCTTATTTTCTAATAATTCTTATACTGCTATTCTGTGAATAATCAATATTAGACTTTATCTATTGACTTTTTATTGTAGTGGATGAAGATTCAGTTTTTCCCTATGATATTTTAAAATGTTTGGCCAAGTCATGTGAAGAAGTGAGTGTTATGGTGATTGTCAAAATTTAAGCCAGATAAGAAAAAAAAAATCATACACCATTCCTAATTATAAATATAATGGCAAAAAGCCCAAATAAAATATTGGCAAATGGAATCCAGCAGTTTATTAATCCATACATATAAACTGACAAAATAGGCCTTCCTCCAGGATAATTTAACACTAGAATCTCTGCGAGTGTAATTTATCACATTGATAACATTGGTAACATGGCTATAGACAAAACTCAAAAAGTAGCAAACTAGACCTAGAAGGGAACTTCCTTCACTTGATAGAAGGTATTTTTGAGAAACTTATGACAAATGTCATAGTTAATATTAATAATGTATCTTGGCCGGGCGCGGTGGCTCACGCCTGTAATCCTAGCTCTCTGGGAGGCCGAGGCGGGCGGATTGCTCGAGGTCAGGAGTTCGAAACCAGCCTGAGCAAGAGTGAGACCCCGTCTCTACTATAAATAGAAAGAAATTAATTGGCCACATGCCTGTAGTCCCAGCTACTTGGGAGGCTGAGGCAGGAGGATTGCTTGAGCCCAGGAGTTTGAGGTTGCTGTGAGCTAGACTGACGCTACGGCACTCACTCTAGCCTGGGCAATAAAGTGAGACTCTGTCTCAAAAAAAAAAAAATAATAATAATAATGTATCTTTTTGTCCTTTACGGTTTTCTCAAAAATAAAATAATGGGGTGTTTTTGCCTGTGCCAAGATGACTACAAGCTGGCTGGCGGTAAATGGGGCCCCGTGGGCGCGTGCAAGGAGAAGGTGGCAGAGCATCACCTGAAACACAGCTTTTATAAGTGTCACCAGGGAATGGAGGAACAGGACAGCAAGTGCCAAGGAGGGATGTCAAGGAGCTCATGCCTACATGGGGAAAAGTCAGAGAAAAAGAAACAGATGTCTGCCTAGAATAGCAAATATCCTAAACAAATCAGGAATTTCTCCTTTTCCACTGTCCGCTTAAAGGAAAGCAGAAGGAGAAAGTGTCATTTTATGGAGAAACACGTAGAAAGCATTACAATATGACACTGGCCAGTTTTTCCAAGGAGTCTTCTTTTTTCTTTCTTTCTTTTCTTTTTTTAAAGTGCAGTGCATGCGGCTTTTCACTCTACATCTCAGAAGTCTGTTCTGAGTCAAAGCCCATGGCAGCAATTTAAGAATGTGCACTGAGGC